AGGAGGTGGTGGCGGCCCGGGAAGGCCCGTCGGTGGGTGTGGCTGACGGTGCAATTCTGCCTGGAGTGCGGGCGCACGGCCAGCCCCTTCCGGCCGCTTCCCCCCCACAGAATCTGGGGCCTGAGCTTGCCCTGGGGACCACAAGCTGGAAGAAGTGTGAGAGTCGCCAGGGGGTACTCCTAACTCCTTCCCTACCTGCGTGAGCCCTTCCGGCCTGGCCCTCTCCTCCCGGGGGGGCTGGCAGACCTGGCTCCTGTCCCCCCCCCGTCCCCACCCCGACTCTGAGATCTGAAAGGCTGTCTCACTGCTGGCCTGAGCCTCGGTTTGGGGGATGACAGTGCCCGTCTCTAAACCACGGGCTCCTTGCTCTTCCCCAAACCCGGAACCCGCAAACCCTTACGGGAGCCTCCTGGTGGGGCACTGGAAACGCGGGGGTCAGGGGCTGGGCGCGGTGGCTCACGCCTGTCACCCCAGCGCTTTGGGAGGCCGAGGTGGGAGGATCGCTTGAGCCCAGGAGGTCGAAACATAGTGAGAGCCCGTCTCTACAAGATGTATTTTTTAAAATTAGCTGGGCATGGTGGTGTGTGCCTGCAGTGCCAGCCACTCGGGAGCTGAGGTGGAAGGACGGCCGGAGCCCAGGAGGTCGAGGCCGGGAGCTGTGATCACACCACGGCACTCCAGCCTGGGCGAGGGAATGAGATGCCGACACACACACAAATAATAACAAAATGAAAAAGAAAAAGGAGGACAGAAAACGTGGGTCTCAGGGCCTCAGCTCCGGACGTGATGAACTGGCCTTGGTCCTGAAACTTGCACGCAAAGCTGCCCTCCCAGCCTTCCCGTGAATGCGGTCCTGGGGCTGGGGGTTCGAGACCCACGACTTGCAAATCCTGGTGCCAATTCCCAACCGCCAATTTCCAGGCTGGAGAGGAGAAACCTCTGAGCCCAAACGGTGGCCCGGCGCGCCCTGGGCCTCCCTTAGGGACCTCGGGAACAGAACCGCCTGAGAGTGGCCTTCTTAACGTCTCTCTCCTGGGGTACTCAGAGAAGTCGGGCCACCTCTGAAGGTCACACAGCACAGCGGTTCCTGAAATGACGGAGGCTGGGGAAGGGAGGGCAGGAGGCTGGTCTCCACAATCAACGTCCTCCACGCCTCAACCTCCTCCCCGGCAGACTCCGGGGGCCTTTCAGCAAAGGGAACTGCAGTGGGAGAGAGGACGCCTGGTTTCTACCTGCCTTGGCTCCGCCTCCCTGTCCTGTGCGCCCCTTCCTCCAGGGCTGTGTGTAGACGGGAGGGTGAGGGGCCGCCCTGGTGTGAACCAGGACCGGCCGATCACATGCCTGAGCCTCGGTTTCCCCGACTGTGAAATGTGAGCCACTGAAGCGGCCCCGGTGGGGACCAGCTGCGTGACACGGTAGAGAAAGCCCTTCGGTGGGTGCCTGGCACACAGGAAGCCCCGGTCAGGACTCAGGCTCAGGGTCACGACTGCCATCGCGGTCACGAGGGCTCCGGGGCAGGGGGTGGGATTTACCGGGGGGGGGAAAAAAAAACAATGATCAAAGCACCAGCTGACACAGACCCCGGCAAACTTCTGGGAGCTCCCACAGTGACAGTGCTGACCTGTGTGGCTGCTGGGGGGGTGGGGAGGTTCCTGCAGAGGAATTCTCGGCATTTGGAGGTGCCGGTCCCTCCACAGACACAGCCCTCTCCTGGGTGGGCACCCCGAGAAGCGGCACGCGGGCGTGCAGCCGGACTCCGCCACGACCCCAGGGACCTGGTGGGTCCCGCAGCCCCAGGCCCAGCCCTCGCCTCACCCTGGTTGCAGAGGGCACCGGCTCCCTGCAGCGAGGGTCTCCCGAATAGGCCCCACTGGGTCTGGGATCCCCGACCAGGGCCCGAGAACCCCCAAGTCCAGCCGGGCACCTGCCCAGTGCACTGTGAATCCCACCTCTGCCTCTCTGCAGGGTGAGGGGGTCACGGCACCCAGGCTGGGGGGGAGGGGCTGGCTCAAGGTCACGGGCAGGGAGG